TGATAACATCAAGCCCTATTTATTCTGACTTACATTTATTTAATCTACGTGTTTTTCCTGTCTTTATTCCCGAGGGCATTTGTCTTCAGTTCCGCAGCAAGGCCCACACACAGCAATATGTTTGTGGGACAGAATGTCTGCTCTGCTGATAGTACAATGAACAGTCAGGCTGATTGATCCATGTGTAATATCACTGTGTGTTGGTGGGTTTTGAAATTATACGTTTCCTGGGAGGATTTGTTGTAGGACTGGATCCTGTGGTTTCTGCACTAAATCTGCTGACGGAGATAACATTGTAACAAAAAGCATGTTTATCTAATTCTGTTCAATTGAGAGAAAACACAGGGCCTTCAAGGATAACAAACCTCACATTGTGGTTGAAAATGCAATATTCGCAACCCGCTTGTTGCTGTGCTAGTAGTGACAACAGGTTTGCAAGTGAAATTGGAATTTGCTGAAAACAAATCTGGAAAACATATTTGAGGAATTGAGGAAGGAAATATGTGAAGATAAAAACAGGGAAATGAAGCATTTTTCAGTGATTCTGTGGTCCTGCGCTAGGTGAAGGTGTTTCAAACTTTTATTTTTAAGCTTTTAAGGCGAATCTCCCTTCATTGCCACCACTGCACCCTCCCCCCCACCCCCCACAACCACACACACACACTCCCTCCCCACACACCCATTCCTCACTACCTCCTCCTTCTCTCCCCTCCACATAGTGTTTGTGACACAGGCCGGTCGGCAATCAGTGTCACTGACAGCAAAGTCAAGTGTTAAATGTTGAATTCTCTTCAAATGGACATGTTAGCGTATTGGCTATAATCCCTTCAAAAAAGAATGTGGTCACTCAATCCGTAATAATAATATTAATAATAGGACTCTCCTCTTCGACTATGCTTTCGGTCAAACTCCTACCACCCCTCCTGATCCCAACCCCAGCTCAGGTCCAAATCTTTGACTGGCCAGCGCCTTGACACATCCTCCCGATGTGAAAGGCACCGTACAAATGTAGTTTGTTGTTGTATTCAACCAGAGGGTTAAGAGTCTCAGCCGACTCCTCACCTGTCCTCATCTGTAAAGGGCCGCACACTCCATTGCCTCTACAAGTCAAGGTGACTGGATAGCATTCTGGTTGAACTTGAACTTCAGCACCTTGGGACGTCCTCCTGATGTGAAAGGCGCTATACACGTGTAATTTGTTGTTGTTTTTGTTGAACTTGCTTCCTGTATTCTACATTCAGTGGGTGAGTGTTGCTAGCTCCTGGTTAGTCACCGGAAGGAGAAAATGATGAAGCAAAGTTCTCTGTCTGAAAGGAGAGGAAAAAGAATCATGATCAAAGTGCCTGATGTAGTAACGCATCAACAAAGTAACAATGTCAGATAAAAATAGACCAGACAATCAGTCCAACCTCCCACAGGATTCCTTCTCTGTATCTATCTCTATATCTAATAGCTCTGAATAATTTTACTTGACAGGAAGTTGTCTAGTTCCTTTTTTGAAACGCAGTCTAGTTCCTTGTTCCCCGAGCTGTGGTATTCCGCATGCTTATTTACTACATAAAAAGTCTCCAACATTTCCTTTTCTCTTATGGTGTCCTTTTTTGAAAATATGATCCTATTGTTCTTGAATTATCTATAATTATCAATATAAGCATTTAATATGACATCAAGTGTCTCAAAGTGCTTCACAAAGGTTATAATAATGCTTGCACTTCATATAGCGCCTTATCATGTCGTTGAGACGTCTCAAAGTACTTCACAGAATCCATTGTAAAGTAGATTGATTGTGCGTTTTGTATGTTCTGTAAAGTGCAGTGAATATGCATTCAAGAAAAACGTTAAATATTTAAAATTGTTTATGATCTTAGTTACCTCTTTTAAGTATCTGCCCCTCAATCTTCCCTGTTCATAGCTGTCGACATTGGGACATTGTGTGTAAATTGGCTGCCACGTTCATCCACAAAACAAACTGTCACTCCGCTTTACAGTATATCCTGTGAAGCGCTTTGAGATGTTCTCCCGATGTGAAAATTATTATAAGAGCAAAAAGTCCTCAGTGACCATCCTTTCCTCATATTTCTGTTGTGTTGTGGAATTTATCTAGTAGCATTTGTTACACTACAACAACGTTTTGAAAGAGGGAAATGAAAACTGCATGTAGTCTCCAGTACGTACTATCATCGGCCCAGGCTGAACTGTTCTGATTGAAGGGGAAAATGTATCACGATATAACTACCTGACTCCATTACCATTACATAGTAAATATAGTAACAAAGTAACAAGGCCAGGTAAAAATAGACAGTCAACCAGTCCAAACTCTATCCTTCTCTATCTATCTGTATATCTAATAACTCTGAATCATTTTACTTGACAGGAACTTGTGATAGAGTAAAAATTGTGTTTAAGGAATAGCATTTCCAGGCCAACATCAACCTTTGGATTTGCTGCTACTACATATATTATGAGCACGCAGAGGAGGGATAGGCTAGGTATGCAATTAGAGCATGTGAAATAGGTTAGGGATGGAAGGAGATAATCCTAAACAATAGCAATTTGCTTTATGCAGATTGTATGTACTGTACTGAACACATTTCTTTAACACACAATAAGGTGCTTTATTAAATGCATGTATTATTTATATTAAAAGAGACAATTAAAATAAAGAAAAAGGACCATTTCGAAAAGGAATAATGAAATAATGTGAAAAGTATTTTGTTTGTGATTCATTTTTCATACAACAAATAACGTAGAAATGGAAAAAATGGAAAAGCAATTATGGTGGATTTATAGTATGTATTGGAGAATGGTATTCCAAAATGATTTGCATATTGTCAATATATTGAATCATTCTATTTTGAGAATTAAGATTCAAATCTTGCTGGAAAATGTTTCCAAATTATTATTGAGAAAGTCAAGATTTTTATAATGTAATCCTTGCATTTGACATAGCGCTTTATCACATAATCGAGGTGTCTACAGGACGTCCTGTAAAATGTAGTGACTGTGCATTTGTAGAAGAACACGGCAGCCAATTAGTCCCACAAAGAGCCATGAAGTGAATGACCAACTTTTTCTAGGGAATTATTGACCTGGACGCTAAGAGAAACTCCCTTCTCTAAAGAAGAGTTAAGATGTTTTAGGTAATTGTGCCGCTTACATACTAACACTGAATAAAGACAGTTTGCATTATGCCCACTGAGGGGCACTCACACTGAAGCTATCTAATGTGCCCTTTAGTACACTATGGAGTTTTCTGTACTTTGGGTAACAAAATGTTGTATCATCTACAGCCACAAGGTGGAAACTTTCACAAATAAGTTTGTGCGCTCCGGGACTGCCGAACAAAGGCAAATGCAATGAAATAAAACTTGCAGGCAGAAATGATTTTGCCAAATAATGTTCTCACATGCACTTGCTCGCAGAGATTTTGCATCAATGAAAAATTATAAGTTAAAATGCGCCTTTTGCAAAGGAATCGCTTTTTTTTCTGAGCTGCAGAATTCTAATGTTATTGCAAAGTTTCAGGTTGTGTTATAAAATAAATGTACAAGTTTAGGGTTAAACTTGGTAGAAATACCATTGCCATTCATGCGTGTGAGGAAGCATGTGAGCAAGGGCTAAATGGATTGCAGCCATAAAAATCTAACAGTCGACTAAATGTTTTGGTCTTTTTTTATTTAAAAAAAGTTAGAAAGAAACATGTTCATGCTGTGTCTAAAAATGCAATACAGTATTTAAAATATTCTAATTAAGCAAGAGTGCAGCACTGAACATTGAGATAACATTAAACTTGTTGTGCAGTTCCAGATACAGTACTACTGCTGCATGTATTATTGTTAGCATTATTGAATATGTAAAAGGATGTGATTTAATAATAATAATCCTTGCATTTGATATAGCGCCTTATCATGCTGTTGAGACGTCTCAAAGCGCTTTCACAGAATACACTGCAAAGTGAATTGGCTGTCTATATCGTGGGCGAAACTCTGCAAACAGATGTTAGTATTTGTATTCTGCAAACAAGAGTGAGTGAGCATTCATTGTTGTGATGAATAATATTAATCTCTGTATCAGATCACTTTGGTGCAGACTGCAAACGGAATGGGACAAATGTCATGTCACCCCCCACCTACACAACAACCCTCAGCAAAGTGGCAGCTGTGGGCAGTGTTACAAGGAAGAAAGGCTTTCGTCTGAATAGTCTCTCAGAGAGCTGACACACGCCACAGAAAAAAAAACTCCTCAAAGTCCCATTGTGCACTCTATACATATGTTAACGAGCAGCGTGTGCCAGAGTCACAGCCTCTGACACACAAAACTTTACTAATAAACCAGTTTTTTTGTGTCTGTCTCTCTTGTCTCTTTCTTTGCTTTGCTTATTATTGTGCTCTTGCAGACGAAAATAAAGCGCCACGTTAAACAAAGTGCAAGATCAGCGCCGAGGTGGGAATTAAAACCACCACATCCACTCCTCCAGAGTTTTCCTCTTTCTTTTTTTTAAAAAATAATAAAAATATTAAAAAAAAGTTTGCAAAAATATAGACGTGAGAGCGAGCAGTTTGGGGGGGGATTGCACGACACAAACCAACACGCAGTCAGCTTTAAGACTTCCTTCAGTGGATCCGCCTTCCCTTTACCCACCGAACAGCAAAAATCGGGTCCTGCGAAAACCTTTTATTTTATTGCATTGTTTCCTCTGCGTTTTTGTTGCAAATTTCGCCCTCGAAAAAGAAAAGAGACAACAGCAGAAGAGCCCAGAGGTTGAGCAACAGCATCACGTGCAGATGAGACACACACACACACACACACAAGACTCACAGACAGACTGAGCATCTGAACACAGCACCAACTCATGGGGAGACCTCCCCCTCCCCCCCTCCCCACCCCCTCTCCCTCCTGCTCTGCTCTGCAGATTTGCACCAATGCTCGGAGGCTTGAGGCGGGCTCCCGCCTCCACAAAAGAAAGCGACCCAACCTCACGCTATAAAAGCTGCGGCGCTGCAAACCCAGAGAGCAGAGAAGCCGCTGCGAGGGTTTAGTATTTTTTTTATATACAGTGTGTGTGTGTGTGTGTTCTGGTCGTTAAGGACTCGTCGTGCAAAGAGGATCAGTCAACTCAGTCTCACTCACATCACATCACATCCACCGCTGCAACGTCGCACCTGCAAAACCTGCAGAGAGAGACCCCCCCTCATCACCACCTCCAACCCCCTCCTCCCCGACCTCCTACTGCTTTATTCTCTGCAAAAGGAAGTCGTTAGTGTTTTGCATCTCCAGTTTATTTGGGGGGTGTTCGAGAGCAGCAGAAGGCATTTTATTTCTTAATTTTCCTACCCCCGCCCCCCCCCCCACTCCTGCTTTGCTCCGACAAATATGACCCTGGAGGAATTCAACGACATCGAGGAAACCCAAGTGGAGAGCACCGAAAGGTAATTTGCGGCACCGCCGACTCTTTTATTTTTATTTTTTTTAAAAAATATATAAATCGCAAAGCAAAAGTTGCATTTTTTTATTGCATTTTTTAAAAAAAATGTTTTTGGGGGTGTTTTTCTTTCCCCCCCTCCCCCACCACCACCCCCCCCAAAAAAAGGCGCCACTACTCGGGTTGGAGGAGTTTGCAAACATTTGCTGGAAGTTTGCATTACTTTTGGAGGAGGGGGGTGTGGGGGGGGTCAGTGACTGTGATTGTTTTTCTGTGGAGGGACTTTTTGTGCAAAAGAAGAATACTTTGCATTCGCTTATGTTATATATACATATATATTGGCAGCGGGGGGGGGGTGCATTGTGTGTTTTTGCAGTGTGTGTGGGGGGGGAGTGCTGATGGTTTGCAGTGTGTGTGTGTGGGGGGGGGGAGTGCTGATGGTTTGCAGTGTGTGTGGGGGGGGGCAGTGCTGATGGTTTGCTGTGTGTGTGGGGGGGAGTGCTGATGGTTTGCAGTGTGTGTGGGGGTGTGTGTGGGGGGGGGGCAGTGCTGATGGTTTGCAGTGTGTGTGTGTGTGGGGGGGGGGGCAGTGCTGATGGTTTGCAGTGTGTGTGTGGGGGGGGGGCAGTGCTGATGGTTTGCAGTGTGTGTGTGTGGGGGGGGGCAGTGCTGATGTTTGCAGTGTGTGTGTGTGGGGGGGGGGCAGTGCTGATGGTTTGCAGTGTGTGTGGGGGGGGAGTGCTGATGGTTTGCAGTGTGTGTGTGTGGGGGGGGGGGCAGTGCTGATGGTTTGCAGTGTGTGTGGGGGGGGGGAGTGCTGATGGTTTGCAGTTGTGTGTGTGTGTGGGGGCAGTGCTGATGGTTTGCAGTGTGTGTGTGTGTGGGGGGGGGCAGTGCTGATGGTTTGCAGTGTGTGTGTGGGGGGGGGGGCAGTGCTGATGGTTTGCAGTGTGTGTGTGTGGGGGGGGGGGCAGTGCTGATGGTTTGCAGTGTGTGTGTGGGGGGGGGGGGCAGTGCTGATGGTTTGCAGTGTGTGTGTGTGGGGGGGGGGCAGTGCTGATGGTTTGCAGTGTGTGTGTGTGTGTGGGGGGGGGGGGGCAGTGCTGATGGTTTGCAGTGTGTGTGTGTGTGGGGGGGGGGGGCAGTGCTGATGGTTTGCAGTGTGTGTGTGTGTGTGGGGGGGGGGGGCAGTGCTGATGGTTTGCAGTGTGTGTGGGGGTGTGTGTGGGGGGGGGCAGTGCTGATGGTTTGCAGTGTGTGTGTGTGGGGGGGGGGGCAGTGCTGATGGTTTGCAGTGTGTGTGTGTGGGGGGGGGGGGCAGTGCTGATGGTTTGCAGTGTGTGTGTGTGGGGGGGGGGGGCAGTGCTGATGGTTTGCAGTGTGTGTGTGGGGGGGGGGGAGTGCTGATGGTTTGCAGTGTGTGTGTGGGGGGGGGGCAGTGCTGATGGTTTGCAGTGTGTGTGTGTGGGGGGGGGGCAGTGCTGATGGTTTGCAGTGTGTGTGTGTGGGGGGGGGGGCAGTGCTGATGGTTTGCAGTGTGTGTGTGTGTGGGGGGGGGGCAGTGCTGATGGTTTGCAGTGTGTGTGTGTGGGGGGGGGGGCAGTGCTGATGGTTTGCAGTGTGTGTGTGTGTGGGGGGGGGCAGTGCTGATGGTTTGCAGTGTGTGTGTGGGGGGGGGGGGCAGTGCTGATGGTTTGCAGTGTGTGTGTGTGTGTGTGTGGGGGGGGGGCAGTGCTGATGGTTTGCAGTGTGTGTGTGTGTGTGGGGGGGGGGGGCAGTGCTGATGGTTTGCAGTGTGTGTGTGTGTGGGGGGGGGCAGTGCTGATGGTTTGCAGTGTGTGTGTGTGGGGGGGGGGCAGTGCTGATGGTTTGCAGTGTGTGTGTGTGGGGGGGGGGGGCAGTGCTGATGGTTTGCAGTGTGTGTGGGGGTGTGTGTGTGTGTGTGTGGGGGGGGCAGTGCTGATGGTTTGCAGTGTGTGAGCGAGTCCCGGGGGGGGGGGGAGGGGGGGGAGGGAGTGAGTTTGGAACCTGCAGTGTGTGTCGCGAGGTGGGGGGGGGGGGGGGAGGGGGTGTCAGTTAGAGCTGCGCGAGAGCTGTGAGGTGAGGGGGGGGGGAGGAGCTGTTTAAAAAGAAATCCCCCCTCCCCCCCCCCCCCCCCGGGGGCCCTCCAGCAACAACACCGGGGGGGGGGGGGGAGGGGGTCAGTGAGGGGTCGCCTCGCCCTCCAGAGGCTGTTTGACGTCGGAGGTGTTTTGAGTTGTCGTTGTTGTTGTTGTTTGTTTTTTGCAGTGAGTGAGTGGTTTCGTGTGTATTTCTTTATACATTTTTATTTTTTTTGGGGGGTGGGGGGGGTTTAAGTATAAATTAGAGAACCATTTTTTTTAAAAAAAACAACACCCACACACGCACACGCACACCCCCCCCTCGGGTGCGCCGGCGTACAAATAAAAGAGGTCCGCCCCGACGCGTTAAAATAAAATAACTCGCCGTTGCTTCGCGTTGGATGTTTTGAGTCCATGTTTTCCTCACTCGCTCACTCGCTCCCTCCCTCTCGCTCTCTGCCCTCAGGATGCAAGCTGCTGGCAAAGCCCTGGAGGAGCTGTTGGCCTCGGCGCACCGCCAGCACTGCCTGACCGTTGGCGTTTACGAGTCTGCAAAAGTCATGAATGTGTACGTTTGATTCCTCTCTTTCTCTCACGCATCGCATCGCAACGCAACACAACACCCGCCTCCTCTCTCTCTCTCTGACTCTCTCGACTCGCTCTCTGCTCGTTGCACGGCTCTGGGGGTTGGGGTTGGAGGTGGGAAACCAGGCCAGATCATTGACGATAAAGCCGTGACATTTGTAACTAAACAAACCCCCCCCAAAAAAAAAAAAATCACACGCGCTTGACCTACATAAACGCCCTCCTTTTCCTGTAACTGGCGGTTGTAATTCTGGCTCACTGGAAACGCAACCCCAGAACGTGCACTTCTCTTTCATCATTCCTCTCTGTTCCCTGTCATGAATCTGTGGTTGAGCTGCTGTAGTGACCGGTTCTTTCCCTCTTCCTCCTTGCAGAGATCCTGACAGCGTGGTCCTTTGCCTCTTGGCCACGGACGAGGAGGATGAGGGCGACATCGCTCTGCAAATCCACTTCACCCTGATCCAGGCGTTCTGCTGCGACAACGACATTAACATTGTGCGGGTCAACGACATCCAGAGGCTCGCCGAGATCCTCGGCAAACCCGAGGACGGCGAGGAGCCCAGGGACATGCACTGCATCCTGGTCACGGTAAGCGTGCTTCCTGGTTCTCAGCAATAGTAATAATAATTCTTATTGTTCCTGGTCTGTTCTTGGAGATCTGTAGCAATGGAGCCAAGTCAGACTTGTTAATCCAGTATGTAAGCGTGTTACTTGGCATTCTTTGCACATACACTAACTTATTTTTCAAAAACATTTTGTTTTTCAAATGCAGAATCCAAGCCAAGATTCCTGGAAGGATCCAGCTTTGGAAAAAGTCGGTGTCTTCTGCGAGGAGAGCCGCTGCACAAATCAGTGGGTCCCCAGCATTTCCTTTCCGGAGCGTTGATGTTGTTGCCACGGATCTGCTGGAAACGTTTGATTTATTTTGAGGTTGCCTCGTTCAGAAGGAAGAGCCGCGTTGGAAGCATCGCTTCCTGGATCTGTGGGTTTAAGACTGTCTGATGTCTTGGTCAAGTCACACGGATGCACGGCCAGGACTTCGTGATGGTGGATCGGGAACACAGAGGACAAAGTTGCGGAAAAGTTGGCTAAATGGACCACATGTTGCACAACATCTGGACCTAGAGCAAAGAGGAGCATGCAAGAAAGAGAAGATGCATCATGCCATGGAGCCCACGGAGGAGATTAAACGGTAGATCAAAACTACATGGAGACTGTGGGACTTGGTTATCTGTTTCTGGGAATATGAACTATTGATCTCAGCCTAAGTACAATAAGTTGTGAAACAAAAAACTCATTCAGATTTGGCTAGAACATGGGAGTATCAAATAACCTGTTACAGCCATGTTGCCTGTACAACTATATTGAGATAAAGGATTTAAAGACTTTTTAAAACGTATATATTATATTTTTAAGTTAATAGATATTTATGATTCATACTTTGAAAATGTAAATCGTTTTCCAAACCACTTGAAATTTTCCTTCCAAATAAAGTACGTATATAAAACCGAACAGCTTTTTTGTCTTGTGATGTGATTGCAAAGTATGTGACAAATGCCAAATATCATGCCTCATCCTACCATGGCAAGGAACTCTAAAAGGACACTGCTTAAAATCAGCTGCACAGTTAGTTGTAGGAGTGTTTTGAAGTTAAAACGCCGTAGTCAGTGAAATGACCTTTTGCCCACTTAAACTATCTATATCACGTGCAGTGGCAAGAATGTAGGTTGTAAATGTTTGTGTAATGATTTTCTGTAAGTTGGACTAGGGGAAAACCAGTGAAGGGGGAAATCCTTTTCTTGAAGAAATGTGACGATTCCAACAAATGTTATTTCAAGCAAAAAGCTTCAGTCTGCAATTCCTATTTCCTTAACACGTGACATGATAACCTTTCAGTTTTAAAATAGCAGCTCTGTGCAAGATGATATGAGCTTGTTTTAAATAGCCTTAAAATAAATTGAAGCATATTATTAAATAAATAAAAGTACAATTTTGAACAACAAGTTGGGAATGGTGAAAAGATTGACGCTATGCTGTGGTTATTCTGATAGTGACTGGGGCTGCTGATCAGCATTGATGATATTCAGCAACATTTTCTATTGCACTTGTTGCAAACGCAGTTGGTCTTTAGCCACTTACAAAAATCAACAAGCCAACCATACTTGTATCCACTATGCTAGTTCTTCAAAACCTGTGCAGGAAACCGTATTACAGTTTTGTAATATTCTGATTTAACTATTTAAATGCTGCATTATATCCCCAACTAAGTTATGTTTCTACCATTAAAAAAAAATTTACACTTATTTTGGTTAATATCTTTGTGATGCCTTGGTAAGCCCTTCTGCAATAGAAAAGCAATTCCAAGATTGGGATTGTTTGAATAAGTCCAAATAGCTTATTTTGTATTGTGATTGATTAATTGATAAGATCCCCGTGACTATCCTTTTGGGCATTTGGGGAGGTGAGTAGATCTACTTAGAGATGAACTGGCTCCAAGGTGACATGATTTGCAACAATGTCAGAATCGAGCCAACCCGCTGGGATCTCGGTAGTCCAGTTGCTGAGCCCAGGCGGGTCTGCAGTAGTCCAGGGCACTGCTGATGACAGCACACCTAGCCTGGTTCAGTGGCAGGACTGGGGGTGGTAGAGGTTTAGACCAGTCACTGGCGCTAGGGTCCCTTCTCACTTGGCTCCCATTAACACTGAAGACAAAGCCCTAATGCATCGGCTGGTCCTAACAGGACATGCGGTGCGAAAGCTTGCTAGGCACTGCTTTCAATGGCAAGCTTTGTGGTTTTAACTAGTTAGACTCCAGCAGTACCCCAATTCATATTCTGGTTCTTGCCAACCTGCAGGGCCTAGTACTTTCATACTAGGCCCTGCAGGTTGGCAAGAACTGTGGCTTGATTGTGTAATCTGGAATTTCTATGTATAGATGGGATGAATGGAACTTCTATCTGGTTGTCAGAAAAATTTCTAAGGCTAAGGAGAAACCCATCTACATTGCGTTCATCGACTTCCGCAAGGCCTTTAAACTGGTGCCTCATGAAGCCCTCATGATGAAACTGGAAGCCATGGAAATACATAGCCAAATCTTGGATTTCATCCAAAATGTTTATTCCAGCAACAAGATCTGAGTGAACTCAATGAGCCCATCCCTCTGGAAAGTGGGATAAGGGAAAGCTGCCCATTGTCTCCCACCCTCTTCAATGTAATCATCAATGACATGTTGGATGGCAATGAGGGGGCCGGACTCTGTATCTGTTCCAGGCCTTTTTGCTAGGATTGCTGTGTTTCTGTTTGCGGATGATATTTCGTTGGTGGTGGACTCACGTAGGGACCTTTTGCAAATTGCACCCACCACCTTGAACACTGGGCCAACGGGTGGGACATGGTAATAGGTGCCCACTAGTGCAGAATTATGTTTCTGCACGACCTAAGCAAAGACATCGAGAGTATTGATTGGAAGATGCAAGGAGCATCAGAAATCATCTGTTCATTTTTATCAGTACCTTGGGGTTGTGGAAGACACCGATTTTTGGTTGGACATTGTCCTGAAGGACCATACAAAGAAGGGGCAAAGGGCATTCTGGTTGTGCTCATCTTTCTCCTACCTGTTTGCAAACAATCCTCCATTATGGATCCAAGCTCCTGGGGATGCAACAGAGTAGCTTCTACGGCCCATTTGCAAAGTCCAGGATCAAGCAGTGAGGTGGATTTGTGGCAAATACTGGAAGTGGCTGCAAGGAGGGAGGGCTCCTGACCTCTCACTAAGCTCCCTGGAGGTGGCTTCACAGCAGGCATGTCTATTTGTCTACGCCCCTCGCAAGGACGCTGGTGCTGGACGCAGACCTTGAGAACATCAAGATGGGTAGCACCTCACAAACTGTCCCGTAAAGGTCCTCACCACGCTGAAGGCATGTTTGAACATCCAGGGCCTGGAATCCACTTTGATTGGTTTGCAGAGAGGCAAGCAGCTGTTGCTCAAGCTCCACACCTCTGACTGGTGGAGCCATTGCTCAATGGGAAGGGATGCGTGTCCAAGCTGTGGACAGGAAGATGGTAGCAATGCTCTCATGCATTTATGATGAACTGTATTACCCGACAGGAAGTTCGCCATCCACCTAGTGAGGGTTGAAACTTGTTATTGTCAGATGTCAAATTATCAACTAGTGACTATCCTCCTTGGAGACCTTCTGCATTGCACCCATCTTGAGCAAGCGGGATCTCCTTAGAGCTGAACTGGCTCTTAGGTGACATGTTTGGCAACAAAATTTTGGATTCGGGCCAACTCTGCGGTGGTCTCAGTAATCCAGTTCTTGAGCCAGGTGCATTCGCAGTATTCCAGGGCACTGCTGATGACAGTACAGCAGTTCTGGCTCATCGGCAGGACCTGGAAGGACAGACACTGGGGCAGGGACTGTTCTCAGTTAGCTCCCATTAACCCTGCAAGTCAAAGCTGTAATGGAAAGGGTATCCCTAGCTGGACAAGAAACAATGCTTTCGATGGCAGGCTGAGCAGTTTTAGCTGGTTAGACACCAGCAGTACCCCAACGAACACTCTGAGGTCCTCAATCCTTGGCTCTACCAACCTGCTCCTAAAACATCCGGAAAGTGGTAAGTGGGATGTGTCCCTCCAGGCAGAGAGAGCACATTCCAACAAATATCTCTGGAATTTCCATGTGTAGGTAGGATGTATGGAATTCTGTTTGGTTTGGATAATGTTAAGCATGGTGTTGGGTTTCCACATGTGTCAAATACCCGGCAGATCAAATAAAAGGTCTTAAGTATTCAAAATATTTAACCCTTTCATGAACGTAATAGTATTTCTTGTAAAAATTGCATGAATAGGGGTAATATTACTAAACTTGTAAATGTGCTTAAATTATTTCTTCTTTCCTCGCTGCTTGGTTTGTTTCTATTATTTCTTCAGCTTTTTGGGATTCATTTATATTAAGCACACTATGTATAACTTCATGACGTACTTATGGGATTTCCCCTGTTATAGCTACACACAGCTAGGTGTAGTAACTTATCTGATCAGGGCAAGATAACCTATTTTTATGTTTCAAGGACAGGCACAGATTTCCAAGATTAAGTAGTAGAAATTACAGGTAGAGTTTGAAAGTGCAAAATCTTCCAGCACTCAACTGGTTAATGCACATAATTACATAACTATATTTCCAGAAATCTCATTGGTCTTTAGTTTACTGCCATCCAGCACGCAATATTCAGCAGGTTTTTCATCCTCCTCCTTTGATCTCTGCTATTCAGCCTCATTAATCTTATAAATCTGTTTTCTGCACGGAAAAGATTCCAAGCTGAATGACAGCCTGTATTAGGCAGATCATGCCACTACACCAACGATAGTTGCGAGGATTTAGGGCAGTGAAGGAAATCCTTAAAAATGCTTCTTGAGATGGTGATTAGTTTTCAAAGAAATATACAGACATCAATATATTTCTTATGTTATCTACCTGCTCCCACATTCTCGGACATGTTAGTTTGCTTTAGACATGGTTTACTTGTGGTTTCAATTTACATTCACATTCACAGTGGCATTGTTTTGCACATGTGCAGTAATTCCAGAGCGAACACCAGGGGTTGGATGTTGCAATTGTGTGTCTGTAGAGTGGTTGAGGACTGCAGAGGATTGTGAGAATGAGGATTCCAATCTCAAGCAGCCTGTTTCCAACCACTTGCTAAGCCTATTGGTAATGATTTCATGCCCTTATTAGATTATGAGCCTGTGCTTTTGTGATTCTGCTAGAGACTGGGGGCATTCATGGAGGCATACCCTACCATTTTCTAATGCATGTAAAATTGTACCCAAAAATGCAATGCAGATTCACTAATATCGTTCCAAATCCTCGAGTGAAATAATCTTGAGAAATAATCTTAGGAATTTGTTGGCTGCTCAAGAGATGCTGCACATAAAACCACATGGGACATTAAATGTTTTCCAACATGAAATACCCTAACTTAACCCTTGTATCTCACCATCTCTAAAACCATTGCTTTAATACACTTTTAGTTTGCTGTGTTTTGTACATGCAGGTTAAATCAAGCCTTATCAGGCACACAGCCTTGTACTGTAGCATATGAAATTGGCATTAAAGGAATGCAAAGCTTGTGATAGGTATTGATAATTGCTTCACACCAGTTTTTAAAAGTCATACATCCTCACATTGGAAGCTTGAGGTTCATTACCACATACATTTTTTTTAAAAAAAGCATGTTCTCTCCAAATACTAAATAAACCACATCAGTTAAGCTAGTTCCAGAACGCGTGGGCATTTTAAATATTATATATATAGAGAGAGATTAGCTCAAGTGGATGTTTCTCCTCTTTAGGTCTCTGGGCTCCATTCTGTCATAGAGAACCTGAGTAGGTAAACACTTCCCAGGCCTTTTGCATTGTTGTTCTTGAGCCAACTTCCAGGACATACATTTACCCTCTGATTGTCTTTCTATTCCAGTGGGAAAAGGTCTGACCTCATATGCCTCACCCA